CTAGCCTGGTGATTCCAGCACAAGACACATGGTGCCAACCAGCCCTGCACAGGACACGCAGGCACAGTCACTCACACCCACTCACTCGGGACAGGTCGGTGTGCCAAGTGCCGGGATGTGCAGACTTAGGGGTGTGGGAGGAGACGGGAGTCTCTGGAAGAAGCCCATGCGGGGGGGGGGGGGGCAGTGGAGGGGACAGGCCAGCTCTCAGGCAGTGTCCTCAGCTGGGAATGCACTTATTTTCCTCCTCAGCCTTAGAAGGAAACATTGTCTTGGATTCAGCCCTTGGCCAACACTGCTGGGAAGAGCCCCAAGCGGGAAGCCTCAAAACTGCCGACACTCCCAGGGCCCAGATCTTGCATTTAGAGTCACGTCCAGTAAAAGAAAAAGGGCTCTTTGGAGTATCAGTTGATGATTCTAGCAAGGAGGTGGGGAGAAAAAAAATTCAGGATGAGTTTGGAAGGTCAGAGTCAGAAAATGAGAAACTTTGGGGCCGAAGCGTTGGGTGGGCATTTGCCTTGCATGTGGTTGACCCAGGTTCGATCCCTGGAGCCCCAGGGGGTCCCCTGAGACCCTCTGGGAGTGATTCCTGAACCAGAGTCAGGAGTAAGCCCTGAGCACAGCCAGGTGTGACCCCCCCCCAAAAAAAAATCAGAAACTCAAGCAGTGATGGGTGCATGGTGAAAGGCCACACGGGGTAACGGAAGGGACCCCCGGTGGCTAAACAGGACCCCATGTGAACCACGCAGAAAAGAAGGGAAACGATCAGTTGTGCCCCGTGGGGTGAAAATGAACACCCTGAGTCCAGGCTGAGGGGAATAAAGGGCAGGAGACATTTTTAAAGGGAAGAGAAGGGACAGGTCTTTCTTCGGAGAATTTCCCTGGGGAATGCAGAGGGATGAAGTGAGCCCGTCCCTGAGTGAACACGCCACTTTCTGTATGAGGGGGACCAGGATGTTTGCCTCGACTCGAAGTCTTCCCTCAGGATACCTGCTAGTTCCTGAGAGAAAACGGTGCTTTCACAGTGGAGAAATGGCGCCGTTGTTGGGGACCACAGCAGGCAGAGTTCAGGGGCTGTGAGGGTCCTTCCAGCCCAGGCCGCCTCCTGCGAGCAGGCGCCCGTCCTGGGCCCCTGATGTTGGTTTTGCTTCAGTTTCCCTGTGAGTCTGGAAGTGCTTCGAAACAAAACAGTGAAAGGCAGGGGACAGTCTTGAGCAGCATCTGCTTTCTTTTCCACCGATACAGAAAACATTAGAGTTGGTCATGATCACTGGGACAGGGTGAAGCCTGGGTTGGAATCCAGACACTCTTTTTCACCTTTCTGACCCTCTGGCCTTCTCCAGGGAAGCTCTGTTTCTCACCCGGAGCGACCCCAAGACCTCTCTCGTCTGTGTGGGGGTCACAGCTGGGGTGCTCAGAGCCTGCTCCTGATAACGCCATCTCGCCCAGAGAAGCAGAGGATGGGCTGAGTCTCCGTCATTCTGGGCTACTTTAGTTGCATTTACGGGTCAAGAGCAAAGAGTCTGTCTGCGTAGAGTGGCCTGACCGCCCAGTGCTCACTTTATCTGTGCTTAACCCTGCGAGAGGCTCATACCAATCTCAGGAGTTTTTTTGTTTGTTTGGGTTTTTTTGTTTTGTTTTGTTTTGTTTTGGGGCTGCTTCCAGCTGTGCTCAGGGGTTCCTCCTGGCTCTGCTTTCAGGAATCACTCCTGGTGGTGCTCTGGGGACCACATGGGGTGCCAGGGATTGAACCCGGGTCAGTCACATACAAGGCCAGCGTCCTGCCTGCCGTTGTACTATCGCTCCAGCCCTCATTTGCTTCCTTTCTGACTCTGTGTGTGTGTGTGTGTGTGTGTGTGTGTGTGTGTGTGTGTGTGTGTGTTGCAGAGGAGGAGGCGGGCAGGAGTTGGGGCCTTAGCCCCGCAATGCAAGCGTTCTCCTGTTCAGCCTCGTCCCTGGCCCCATCTCCTCGTCCAACAGCAGAGAGACGGCACAGCTGGTGGTGTGCTTGCTGTGCACAGGGCTGGTCCCTGACACTCCATATGGTCCCCCAGCACTGCAGGGACTGATCTCTGAGCACAGAGCCAGGAGCAAGTCTCCTGAGCATCACTGGGTGTGGCCACAAAACAGGAAGGAAGGAAGGAGGGAAGGAAGGAAGGAAGGGTGGGAAAAGGGAGGGAGAGAGGGAGGAAGGGAGGGAGGGGCCTGAGAGCTGGGGGTGGGGGGCTGGACACAGTTGACTTGGTTTCATTCCTGGCACTGGACATTCCCCTGCGTGTTTCTGGCTGCCACCCAAATCCAAAAAGAAAAAAAAAGACTGGAGGGGAGAAGAGGGGAGGGGAGGGGAGGGAGGAGGGGAAGGGAGGGCTGGGTTTCTTAGAAGAGCTTCCTCTGCCCTTCAGGGAACTGTCTGTCCCCTTGATTCCATCCTCTGCCCCCCTTGTTGGAGCCCCACATCCTCCCTGCTGACCTGAGTTCTCTGGGTGACCCCCTTCCCTCCGGACCATCTGTCCCCGCACTGCCTACCCACAGCCTTTCAATAGCAGCTTCCTGGGGGACAGTGGTCTCAGGGGCAATTTCATGACAGGCTGGGTTCAGCAGGGACCCGCTCCCTGTCCCTCCTCCCCCCGCTGTGGTGCTCAGGTGCTGAATGGAGTTGGGTGTTCAGGGAGGCACGTGGCTTAGCTTGAAGAAAAGCTGAGGGGGGAGGATTTTCCCAGGGGGCCCTTCTTCCCGCACTGCACACCGGGGCTGGAGGATGGATGGGCGGCAGGAAGGGTGGGTGGGGGTGTGCAGGAAAAGGACACCCTCCTAAAAATAACCAAAACTTCTCAGGGGGCGGAGCTGGGCATCCTGTGTAGGGCTGGAGCTGCAGGAACTGCCCCCCCCAGCACCTGAGGAGGGTGTGGTGCGAACTTTCAGGAGACCCCCAAATCCCCACACACCTTCAAGAGACCCAGCCATGGCCCCTCCGATCCCCCACGCCAACTCCAGGGGGAGTCCCGGCCTCTTCTGGTGGGACCCAGTCTTTGTGACACTCACTGGAAGTCCCCGAGCGTCTGAGGGAGGGGAGGAGGCCGCGACAGGCTCCTTCCCGCCCCCCGCCCCCCGCCCCCCATGTCCAAGCTGGGGTGCCTCTGGGGGCATCTGCTGCCAGCCCCCAAGGGGATTGACTGTTCTCTGTCCTCTGCCGAGTCAGGCCTGTTGATGGGAATGTATAATGTGGTTGGTTTTTGCAGGACTATTTATGTTTCTCTGAGTAGGGCCCCAGGGGAAAGGCTGAGAGCTTTGCCTTTAAAAGCTGAAAACGAGCTGGAGCGGTAGTACAGCAGGTAGGGTGTTTGCCTTGCACGCAGCAGACCTAGGTTCGATTCCCAGCATCCCATATGGTCCCCTGAGCACCGCCAGGAGTAACCCGTGCATCGCCAGGTGTGACCCAAACAGCAAAAAAAAAAAAAAAAAAAAAAAAAAATGCTGAAAACAGAGGCTGGAGCAGTAGTTCAGCAGGGAGGACATTTGCCTTGCACGTAACTGCCGTTCCAAGAAGATGCATCCAAGTGCACACCAGAGGCGGGGAAGCTCAGTGCAAGCAGATGGACAGATGAGACTCTGGTTTCGTCCTGAGCACCAAAACCCAACCCAAATGGGCTACAGCGGGCTCGTCTTTGCCGGCCCTGCATGCACTGGCCAGAGTGCCGGGTCTTCACCGGAGGTTTTGTGTTCGCCTGCCGGTTGCTGGCCGGTCTCAGTTCTTCTGTGAGACTCCAGCTCAGGCTTGGCCCGTCTCCTCTCGGTGCATTCTCCTCTCTGCGTGCTGAAGTCCAAGGTTGGGGCTCTGTCTGCCCCCTCCATGCCCTCAGGCATGCCCCCAGGCATGCTTGTCTACACCTATGAGCTCAGGGGAGCCTTCCCCTCATGGGGTTCAGAGGCGCAGGACTGCGACCTGGGAATGAGAGTCTGGGGCCTCCATTGCCCCGTGGGGGGACATCTCTGCCCCCTCACTTTGCTGATGTCCCCCCCTTCCATTCCCCTCGAGCAAACCTGGGCTGTTTCTTTTCTTTTTGAATCACACCTGGCGATGGGATGCTCAGGGGTTACTCCTGGCTCTGTGCTCAGGAATCACTCCTGGCAATACTTGGGGGGCCATATGGGATGCCGGGTATCGAACCCGGGTCTGCCCCGTGCAAGGCAAACACCCTTCCACCTGTGCTATGGCTCCAGCCTGGGCTGTTTCTTTCTGTGTCCCACAGGGTGGAGGCATCCCTGCTCACTTCGGGGGATTCTTGCTTCTGACCTCGTCCCTGGGCTGCTCTGTGAATTTTACTTGACTATTTCCAGGCATCGTCCTGCATTGCTTTTCTCTAGTTTTGACATATATTTTAACTTTTTAATTCTTTTCTTCAACTATTTTTTCGCTTTAATTCTTTTTTTCCCCCCAGTGTATTTTAGCTCTAAAGAGCAAGCAGCGTTGGAGGCCAGCCACACGTGCTGGGGGAAAAGGCAGCTCAGATAGAGAAGGGAGCACCAAGTAAAGGGTGTGGGGAGGATCCTCCCAGGATGAGAGATGCATGCTGAAAGTAGTCTATAGACCGAACATGTTGGCCACTCAGTGCCTCTACTGCAAACCACAACACCCAAAAGGAGAGAGAGAACAAAAGGGAATGCCCTGCCACAGAGGTGGGGTGGGGTGGAGGGGATGGGGTGGGGGTAGTGGGAGGGATACTGGGATCAGTGGTGGTGGAGAATGGGCACTGGTGGAGGGATGGGTACTCGATCATTTTATAACTGAAACCCAAGCACAAAACCTTGTAAGTCTACAACTGTACCTCATGGTGTTTCACTAATAAAAATTAAAAAAAAAAAAAAAAAAAAAAAAAAAAGGAGCAAGCGTGCCTCCAGCGCTGAGGAGGTCTGGGAGACGGCGTCTGGAAGACAAGGGCTGGGATGGGGTGGGTGGTCGGGCTGGGGGGCGTGGTCCAACCCTAGTCCCCGCTCCGCAGGGCTCCTGCTTCACGACGTGACCATGTCGGGGCTGCAGGAACTGCGATTCCCCGAGGAGAAGCCGCTGCTGCGGGGCCTGGAAGGCGGCGAGCTGGTGAGTGGCCCCTTCAAGGTCGCGGGGCGGAGGGCGCCACCTCGCGGCCAAGTGGGAAATGGCGCCTCTTCCCTCCTGCGCTCTCTCCAGCTCCCGGAACTTGGGGTCACCCCTTCCCTCCTAGCCATGCTTACCTTCCCCATCCAAGATCAGGATCCCCCCCTGCCGGGCACCTGTGGCCTCGGCTGCCTCTGAGGTTGGGAGGCTCTTGAGAGTTAGTCCCAGGAATGAGAAAACCGTGGCCCAGAGAGGGTGGTTGACTTGGCTGGGGTTGCACAGGTATCAGGGAAGGATGTCCTACTTGACCACTGGTACTTGGGGACCCTTGAACCCAGCGGGTTCATACTGGCTACTGCTGCCTCCCTGCTGAGGCAGTGGGGGGGCTACAGGGGGACCCTGCTGGAGCCTTTCCTGTCTGGGAGGGGGCTCCCCAAGGGATCACACTGGTGCCTTTTTCTCTACCCATACTCTGATGCATACACGACCAAAGGAGGCCGTGTGGTGGCTCTTTGGTCCCCAGGGCTCCGAGTCACAGCGCAGGCATCGGACCCCCTGAATTCTTTCTTTCCTTTTTTCTCCTTTTCAGGTTTTGGCTCACACTCAACAGTGCTCAGGGACCCTGTGGTGTCAGGGACTGAGCCCAGGTCTCCCATGTGCCAATCGTGTGCTCTAGCCCTCGCGCTGTCTCCCCAGTCTCCCTGTGATGACTTTTATTCTTATTTTTTTTAATGTAGGAGTACTGCTATTTATTCAGCCACTGATTAGCTGATTGAATTGTGCATGAACTCCACCTTAATTTTTTTCTTATTTTTTATAATTTTATTTATTGAATTGTGATGACTTTTAAACTCCCCCCTTCTTGTGGTGGTGACGCCTGGTGCCCTGTCTTGCCCCTCCCTGTGAGGAAAAGCTTCGGCTCCACGGCTGGTGGATTTTGGGGTGCCAGGGCTGTTGGCGATGCCACCACTCCCCCTCAATTTACAGATGGGCTAGGACCCGAACCAGGGCTACAAGGCCCAAACCCCCCTAAGGCTGGCAGGCCGACTCCACAGGGAGACGGTCTGGCCAGAAGGACAGAACTTGGGTCCCCTTAGCAGGAACGCCATCTGCGAGCAGCTCCCCAGGAATGATTGAACAGCCGCCCCCCCCCCCCCCCAGAGCACTCAGTCCAGAGGGAGCCACAGAGAATAGTGTAGTTCAGAGAGAGCAGTCCCTTAGAATTTTCTAGAAAGTCGGTCTCCCACAGCCAGCCTGCACACAGACAGCAACCGCCTGCAGGGACAGATGGTGGCTCTCAGGGGGATTGGAGGGAGGGTCCCACACGCTCGTGCATAGAGGTATGGGGTCACAGGGCACAGGGGAGTGTCTGTCTCCCACTCCACCCTGCCGTCCTGCCTGGCCGGGCCCCTGGATGCGCCCACACAACCGGCTGCCCAGAGACTCTGCCTGCTGCCCCTCCCCCCTCGCCCCTTCGAGGGCCTCAGTAGCTCTGTCCTCCCCAACTCGGCTCCTGGGACCCTCCTCTCTGCTGCTTCCCAAGATCCCGCCCTACCCCAAGGAAGCCTTGTCCCATGTGGCCTCCACATCCCCTGGATGCTGATGCAGTTTGCCCCATTCTAGAACTTTCTTTTTGAGCTGGTGTCTCCTGGCACTGCTTGGGCACCTTTCCAGGCTCTTCCCGCTCACCAGGGCCTGCCAACTGCCCGGTCATGGCCTCTCTCTCTTTCTCTCTCTCTCTCTCTCTCTCTCTCTTCTGTGTCTCTCTGTCTCTCCCTGTCTCTCTCTGCCTCTGTGTCTATGTCTCTGTCTCTCTGTCTCATAAACACACACACACACACATACACACACACACACATACACCGGCCTCGTTGGCCTGCAGGGACTTTGCTGCCGTCTGCAGGGCTCCCTGGAGCCCCCAGCTCATTTCCCCACATTTTTCTCAGAATATTCTTGGGTCCTGCTGGGCTGGTGTGCATGTGTGCATGTGTGTGTGTGTGTGTGTGTGTGTGTGTGTGTGTGTGTGTGTATGTCTCGGAGTGGGGAGGGGCGTGTCTCTGATTGACTCACCTCCTTCCTGCTGCCTGGGTACAGGTCATCCCCCTCACAGCCTCTCGCCCTTATCCCACTTACAGAGCAAGCCGTCCCCTCCCTTGCCCACAGAGGGTCCGGTCTGCTCGGGGTCTCGACTAGAAAACCCTTCCGGTGCTCCCCATGCACTGCCAGGTGTGACCCCTGAGCACAGAAAAAAACTCTCGTGTCCAGGTCAGAAAGAGAGTGCAGGAATTGCCTGGGGCTCACCCGGGTTCGATCGCCGGCATCTCACAGGGTCCCTGAGCTCCGCCATGAGTGACCCCTGAGCACAGAGCCAGGATTCAGCCTGGAGCAACGCCAGGTGGGACCCAAAAACCAAATAAAAATCTCCCATGTGTCCCCCAGAACACCCCCACCCTGTGTCCCGCTGCCTGGCGTGCATGGGATCCGGCTTTCTGGTTTCTGTCCCTGGACGCTTCCACACGCCCCCATGGCTCCTCCACACAGACCCAGGCCCCTGGCCTGATGTGCCCAGAACTTGCTTCTCGAGGGCATTTCCCGGCTTCTGAACTCGGGCACCACCACCCCCTCACCTGAGTCCTTCCTCATGGAGACTCAGACGTCGATACTGTGGGTTTCCCTGCACCCCCAGACTCGGACCTTCTCCTGGGGGGCCCTCGCGGCTCCCGTCCCTCTGCATGGTCTCTCAGCTCCGTGGCCTGGTGTTGTGCCCGAGTTTCAGATCCCCATGGCGGAGACCCAGTTCTACACACGGTAATGCAAAAGCAAAGGAACTAGCCTGAGCCAGTGCTAGCCTGAGCTAGGGTCCAAGTCTCATCCAATGCAGTGGAGTCTTGACAAGGACCCTGACTCTGAATCATAAGCAGTTTATATAGGGCTCAGTCAAGAAGCAGTTCATATACTGATCTATTTTTAGCATTGCCCTATTACAATAGTGGTCAGCAATTAGACAGCAGGTACCAGTAACAGTTTGGGTTTTTTTCTAAGAAGGGTGCGGCGAACTCTCATGACTGGCCAGATGCATCTGCCTAGTTTCTTTCTTTTGTCTTAAATTTTATTAGTGAAACACCATGAGGTACAGTTATAGACATACAAATTTTGTGCTTGGGTTTCAGTTATACAATGACTGAGTGCCACCAGTGCCCATTCTCCACCTCCAGTGCTCCCAGTATCCCTCCCACCTCCCCATCCCCCCCCATCCCACCCTATCCTTGTGGCAGGACATTCCCTTTTGTTTTCTCCTTTTGTGTGCTGTGGTTTGCAAAAGAGGCATTTATGCCCAGTTTCTTATCTGGGTGAATTACTCAATTGGGAGTTTACCAGAAACTGCAAGTCCTGCTCTGAGGAGACAGAAACTGAGGCCTAGCTGAGACTTAATGTTAGCTGCCGCCTGTCATGGCATCAGTTTCCCCTCACATTGGGAAGGGCTTGATCGGGTGCTCCTCCACAGAGCAGCCCACGCCTCTGCTTCTCATCCACAGGATGAGCCAGAAGCTTCTAGACTGGGACCCAGGGCTCTGCTTAGCTGGGCATGTACTGACCACCCCGCCCCAGAGACCCAGAAAGGGGGCAGCATGTCGGGGGGGCTTCCGGCAGCATCGGGGAACGCCTGTGAGCCCAGACGCAGCCCTGGGGGCCAGGCCCCCATTCGTGGAGCCTGGGAAACGGGGGTGGGGGGGACATCGTGGTCCCTCCTTTGCAGAGTGGGGCGCTGTCCTTCAGCTCTGTTTAGGTTGGGGAACTCGTACTCACCCGGCTTTATGCCCAGAACAGAGCTGGACATACAGGTAGGTCCCCCCCAAAATGGGGACCTGGGGTCTTGAGGGCCGGCCAACTGGAACTGGCCCTGCATGACTCCCACACATGCGGGCCTCAGTTTTCCCATCTCCTAAGTGGGCCAGTGGCCACACCGTCACGGCCCCACAGAACCTTTGATGTCCCCGCTATTTCCACCAACCCACCGTGAAAACCATCAGTAAAGGGGAGATGTGGGGAGTCTGGGGCACCCTTGCTTTCCTGGGTCAGTCTCTGTGCATCCCATCCCCTGCGAGTAGCCACTCCCTTTGGCCCCTGCCTGCCGCCCCGGCACCTCCTCCTGGTGCGGGAAGCTCAGGGCCAGTCCCAGAAGCCAGGGCTCCCGCACGCGTTTTGTCCTCTTGGGAGGGGCCATTAAATGAGTCCGCACAGGGGGAGCCCGAGAGGCCAGAGCCCCCAGCCCCACAAGGTCCTCACTGCCTCCCCCTCTGCTTGCTGCCCGCAGGAGCCCGTGGACACCTTTCTCGTGGCCGATGACACGGACTGGAAGGTAGGTGTGGGGGCTCACAGCTCCGGGGAGAGGTACCCCCCATTCCACCGGGCCGGGGGCGGCTGGGGCGGGAGGAGGGGGGATGCTGTCATCCCAGACCAGCCTGGCTCCCGTGAACGGGTGGCGGCGGCGGGTGGATGCTCCAAATAGCCGGTTTCCATGGCAACTGTTGCTGGGCCAACCGGGGCCTGCTGCCTCCATGCCAGGGTCCCTGTGGAAACCTAAGCGATGCTTTGTTTCTCTTCCTCCCCCGAGGAGGCTCCTGCTCCCTGCTCTCCCTGCCGGCCTCCCTCGGCTCCCTGCAGCCCTTTATCTCGGGGTCCTGGCGGACAGCAGGCAGCAGACACCCCAGCAGGGCGCGCTGGCCGCCAGAGCCCCCACACCCCTGCCCTGGCCGAGGCCAGACTTCAATTTGGGTCAGTGTCTGAAGCCCGTGACTGGCCAACCTGGTGACGCAGGAGGTGGGGGTGCCACGGGCTCCTCGCCCCACGGGGTGCCGCACCCCTGCAAGGGCACCGTGGAGCGCCAGCCCTGAGCACAGGGTGGGTGTGGAGGCGAGAGGGGGGGGACAAACGCCACCCTGGGGGCGGGGAGGGGACAGGAAAACCTAGGATCTCCTGTGTCCAGCCAGCGGGTCATGGCACACGGAGCGAGGGCATGGGCGTCCCTCTCCAGGGGCCCTGACCCTTCCTCCGCTCACCTCTGTGACCCACCAGCAGGGGGCCGGAAGGCCAGGAGCTATCACAGCTTCCTTTCTGTCCCCTGTTTGGGGGTGCCCTGGACAAGACCCAGCAAGGTGGCAGCCGAGATGAACCCCAGATCCCGGCTCCTGGTCCCTGGCTCTGTGTGATGTGGGGGCGTCAGGGAACCTCTCTGGGCTGCCTTTTCCTTCAGGGGTGAAACGAAAGCTCCCAGAGATCTCCCAACAAGCAAGGGACCCTGGTTCAACCCCCAACACTACATGGCCCCTGAGCACTGCCAGGAGCAACCCCAGAGCAACACACACACACACACACACACACACACACACACACACACACACACACACACGATGAAATGCCTGATGCACATCAAACAGATGTCTTGGGTGGTCACCCGGAAGTGGCATCTGTGCTGCAGGGGTTTGTAAGGATGGAGTGTGATGCTTGTAGCTCCTGCTGCTCTCCCCCCACTCTCAAGAGTGGAGGCTCAGAGAGGTTGACTGACTTGCTCAGTGGCACACAGCAGGACAGCTGTGCTGTGAGGAGCAGCCTCGTTGGCGCTGGGCGCGGCCTTGCTGGGCAGAACTCCAGGAAGGGGGCTGACAGACTGGAGCCAGCAGCCGGCCTGCTGCCGCTTCTCCCCGGCCAGGCCTAGCGAGGTCTGGGCAACTGTGGGTCGGAGCTCGAACAATCCATGCAGTTTCCGTCCCTCAGTTCGGTGAGGAAAGCAAAATCCCCACTTGCAGATGAGCCTAAGCCAGAGTGCGAATGTCAGGGGCTTGTGCGACCTCCTGGTGTGTGTGGGGGGCGGGGCGGGAGCCAGTGAAGGCTGCAGTGGGCTTCGAGGGGGGACAGTGCCCAAGGTCAGCTGCCCACCAGGGCTAGGGCGGGAAGGCCATGCAGAGGTCAGGGCTCAGGTAGGCATGGTTGGATGGGGACCACGGAAGGTGAGGGGTTTGGTGGCACAGAGTGGGAAAGCCCCACCCTCCCCCACCTTCCCGAGCACTGGGGTGGGGGGTTTGTGGGCACCCAGGGGACCAGGCTGACACCCTATGGGCTGCCTCGGCTGTCGGAGCTTGCTCCTGGGCTGTGGGGAACAGGAGGCGCCCCCAGACCTGAGGGGCAAGGAGGAACTCACACCCCACCTTGGCTGCCCACCCCCGCAACACGCACAACGTGAGCGTGAGAGATGGGGCAGGGCAAACGGTGACCCCGCCAGAGGACATGGGCCCGTGTGGGCTGGTCATCCTCATCACGACCAACCAACCTGCACCGGGTGAGTGATGCAAGCCGGCTCTGCGGAAGCTTGGCTGGTTTCCTCACCAAAAAGAGACAGAATGGGGGCACAGGCACCCCACACCCCTCCCTGGCCTGTCTGTCACCCCTACATCTCCATCCAGGGGTGACCTCCTCCTCCTCCTCTCCCTCCCCTGGCCGGCCTGCTTCCTCTCCGCTGCCAGCTCCAGTGAACCACCCCCGCCCCACCCTATGCCACCCTGATTCCTGGCTGCGCATGGGCACAGGGAGCCTGCGGGGGTGGGGTGGGGGTGGGAGGCTGGAGCCCAGGAGAGCAGTGGGCCTGGTGGCGCTGCGGGGAACCGGGCAGGTGCCCTGGGCTTAGCCACGGCTCCTCCTGCAAAAACAACCTCGCAGGTGGGGGTGGGGGTGGGGAAGGGTGCGGTGCTGGGTCACACCGCTGGCCCCGGGCAGGCACGGGACAGAGCAGGGAGCAGGGCTGCCCTAGGGGAGACCGTGGAGGCAGAGGAGCTCCCCCGCCACGCCACCCCAAGACCGCCCGGGACCCCACGCCCCTCTGGTTGCGTGCTGCGAACCGACCTTCCCGGACTGGGGACCCTTGATGCCCGCTGTGCGCCGCAGCCTGCACTGCCCGGCGTGGTTTGGGAGCGTCTGGGCGCCCGTGTGGCTCACGCAGGGTGGCCCGGACCCCGGGGTGCGGCGGCGGCGGCGGCGGCGGCAGTGGCAGTGGGCGTGCGCCCGCGGGTGCGCTGCCCGGGGCTCGGCAGCGGCCGGGGTTGGGGCGCGACAGGAGTGGGCGGAGCCGTGCCGGGGGTGGGCGGTGCCAGGGCCCCGGCGGCCAATGGGAGCGCAGCCGAGCCGGCGGCAGCCAATCCGGGGGCGGGGGCGCGGCGAGCGGGTGCCCGCGCCGCAGCCCCGCAGCGAGGAGGGGCGCCGAGGCCGGGCCGGGCTGGGCTATAAAGGGCCGGGGACCCCGCGACTGAGCTGCCGGTCTCGCACCTGCGCCGCCCCCCGCCCCGACCGCTGGAGCCCGGAGCCTTAGGCCTTTGTTCGCCCTTCGAGGTCGAGGCGAGCCGCCTCCCTGGCAAGATGCCCGAGTGCTGGGATGGGGTGAGTAGGGGGCCGGGGGGCGGCCGGGGGGAGGACGCGTCCCCGCCTGCAGGTGCCCGCCCGGCTCCCTGCGGCACGCGTCGGGTCTGGGCGTCCGGTGCTTTAGAAGGTTGGGGTGACTGCACCCGCAGCGCGACCTCCCAGACAGCATCCTCCCTCCCGACCCGCTCTCTGGTTGCCGCGGCTGGCAGAGGCCAGGGGCACTTGGACCGCTGGGCCTTGAGGCTGGGGTCTCCTGGGGGTCTCCGCGCCTTCGGATTGGTTGGGGGAAGCTCGCACTGGCGCCCCGAGGCGCAGCCAGGGGTCTCCGCGCCCTGGTGGAGGCAGAGGCAGGGGCCTTGCTGTCCCCAGGCCTCCCCCTGCCTCCCTGCCCTGCCCCATCTGCAAACCAGGAATGACCCCCCACCCCCCACCCCATCCGCAGAATTACTGATGCCCCCATGGAAAGAGTCCACACGCGCCTCCTCCGAGCCCACCCGCGCCGCTGGCCCGCACCCCTGAAGGTCGTGGGCGAGGAGAGGCCTGGCCGAGAGGGGCACGGAGCCCGTCCTCCCCCCTCCCACCACCCCCCTCTGTCGCAGTGCCTCCGTGTTGCCCACCAGAGATGAGGGCTGGGCTCTGACGTCACCTGGAGCCAATGGCAGCGCTGGGGGGGGGGGGTGCTCGGCGCATTCCCCTCCCCCTGCAGCCCCCCGGGGACCGGTCCTGGCCTCCTTCTCCGCAGCTCCCTGCATCCCCGCCTTGGGTGGGAAGAGGCGCAGGGAGGTCACCCCCCCTCACCCCGGGTTCAGCCAAGGTCACTCCTGCCCCACCCAGGCTGAGCCCTTCCATTTTCCACAGGGAGCTGAGCCTTATTGGGGTGAGGTCTGCTGCTCAGTTCCACCCCCCAGGAGGGCTACGAGGTCAGAGGGGTCACCTCCATACACGCAGGTGGAGGGACCTCCGGGTGTGGGGGGCAGTGTACCCTACAGGCCCCTCAGGAGCTCCGGAAGCGCATTGCAGCATCCGGGGCAGGGGCTCCCCGCCTCCTTCCCCAGCCAGGAGAGCATACAGTGTGGGGAGGGGGGTACCCCAAGAGACTGCTTGCCTAGGGGTGGCACTGGATCTCCCCCCGCAGAAATGCCACCTGCGGGCTGTCCCCCACCCCCGAGGCTGGCATCCAGCAAGGCCCACTGGCCTACTCTGCACTTGACCTTGAGCAAGTCATTTCTCCCTTCCTGGCCTCAGTTTCCTCGCCTGGGCGGCTTGCCCTTGCAGAGCACAGGAGAAGGCAGCTGAGAGGGTAGGGCAGGGGGCAGGGAGGCTGTGGGGAGCCCGTGCCCCCAGGACAGTGGGGGTCTTGGCAGAAGCGAACTCCCGGGATGAGGCATCTGGCCGGTCACAGGCTGCTCCTAGACTCCAGGCCTATCCCTGTGCCGCTGTCCCTGCTGCCTGCGTCTCCTCTGTCCCGCGAGGAGGCAGGAGCTGGGGTCTCTGGGCCCAAGTGCTGTTTTCTTCTGTCCTTGACCCAAGCCCACTGCCGCCTCCCGGCAGCTGCCCTGAGTCGCTCCATGCAGGGCCATGCTGTCCTTGACCTCGGACCCATCCTTCCTGGGTCTTCCCGCCAACGGGCCTGGAGGGAGTCTGCAGGGGTGTCTCCCCGGGGTCGGGGTGCCCAGGCTCCTCCACATGCCATGTGCTTTGGGAGCTGGAGGAATAGCTGGGCCCGGCCTTGGGGTGGGGCCTGAGCCGTCGGGGGTCACGGGAGGCCTGGGGGAGAGGCATTTCGGGATGGAAGGATGCAAGGAGCAAGGACTTGCAGGGGGGCAGAAAGATAGTCCAGCAGGTAGAGCGCTTTGAACCGCCGACCCGGGTTCGATCCCTGGCACCCCAATGGTCCCTTGAGCACCGCCAGAATGACCCCTGAGCACAGAGCCAGGTGTGGCCCCAAAACCAAATAAAGAACTTGGGGTGGGGTGGGGCCAAAGGGAGAAGTACAGGGGGTAGCACTTTTGCCGACCTGGCTTCACCGTCCCCTATGGTTCCCTGAGCCCACCAGAAGTGATCCCTGAGCTCAGCGTCAGGAGTCAATCCTGAGCACCACCAGGAGTGACCCCCAAAACCAAAAGAAACTGGGGTGGGGCAGAGAAGTGGCTGGGGACAGGGGGCAGGGCTGTCGTGGCCTCTCTCCTCAGGAACAGCTGCTGTTGCAGGGCTGAGGGTGGCTGGGTGGTCAGCAGTGAGTGGGGGTCCAGGCCTCATGTCATCTGGCTCATCATGTCCCCATGCCTGTGTGCAGAGGAGACTAGAACCTTCCAGAGCAAACCAGCTCAAGGTCCTGTGCTGAAGGCATAGTTCGTTGGTGTGTCCTCGCTGGGGGACACTTGGGGTGATGAGAGCGGGGGGTGCTCCTTCCCTGCGTAGGTAGGGTCCCCCGCAGACCCCACAACCCCCTGTAAGCTGGTTCTCTGGAGGAGCTGGGGTGGGGGCGAGGTGCCTTGGGGGTCCAGTGCTGTCTCCACCCTATAGGAACATGACATCGAAACGCCCTATGGCCTCCTGCACGTGGTGATCCGGGGGTCCCCCAAGGGGAACCGCCCAGCCATCCTCACCTACCACGATGTGGGCCTCAACCGTAAGTACCCGCCGTCTCATCTGGCTCTTCTGCCCCCGGAATCTGCCGGCGCAGAGATGCCTCTCGCGTCCCACAGGGTCCCCCCTGCAACCCTCCAGACACACAGCCATGTGCTGAGGCTGCCCCTGGGTGGGCCCCACCACTGAGGAGCGTGTCCTTGCAGACAAGCTGTGCTTCGACACTTTCTTCAACTCCGAGGACATGCAGGAGATCACCAAGCACTTCGTGGTGTGCCACGTGGACGCCCCTGGCCAGCAGGTGGGGGCGTCCCAGTTCCCTCAGGGGTAAGTGCCCAGAGGCCATCCCTGGAACCGTCCCAGCCCCGAGCCCTGTCCCCTGGTCCCACACAGGCCTCACCCCGGCTCTGCCCGCAGGTACCAGTTCCCGTCCATGGAGCAGCTGGCCGCCATGCTCCCCAGCGTGGTTCAGCACTTTGGGTGAGTGCCCCCAACCTGCCCCTGCACTGGGGGGCCTTGGGCTTCGGCTGAGGGTGGCGAGTGGGGCCAGCCCGAGCGTCACGGGCTCATGTTCTCCACTAGGTTCAAGTATGTGATTGGCATCGGCGTGGGAGCCGGAGCTTACGTGCTGGCCCAGTTCGCGGTGAGTGTGGTCACGCCAATGACCCCCAGGTCCCCCACAGCCCAGGCAGCCCTCTGCGGGGGGCCAAGCCAAGACCTGGGAACCTTCCCTGTTTGTTAGTTTGTGTGTGTGTGTGTGTGTGTGTGTGTGTGTGTGTGTGTGTGTGTTTGGACCACACCCAGCAGTGCTCAGGGCTTACTCCTGGCCCTGTACTCAGGGCTCACTCCTGACCCTGTGCTCAGGGCTCACTCCTGGCTCGGTGCTCAGGGCTCACTCCTGATGGGGCTTCGGGGAACCCAAGTTAGCTGCATACAAGACATGGGCCTTTTTACCTGCTGTACTATCTTCTCAGCCCCAATCTTCCCTATTTCCTTCAAGGAAATTAATATTTTGCTCTATACCCAGAGGTTCCTTTTCTTGTATGTTTTTTCCAGAGACTAAATTGCAACTTCTTCACCACAGCCTGAAATCAGAGTTTCTTTTGGCACAGTACTGACTGCTCACTGACTGCTCACCCCACCTCCTGAACACTCATTTCACGGGTCTGGGTGGTGTTTACACAGGAATCCTGCTCAACTAAAATGGTACCCAGGAAGTGGATTAGGTATTGTCCCAAGAAAATTGCATTTCATGGGCTAGAGCAACAGTATGGCGTGTAGGGTATTTGCCCCGCACAGGGCCAAACTGGGTTCAATCCCCGGCACCCCATATGGTCCCTGAGCACTGCCAGGAGTGAGTCCTCAGCACAGAGCTGAGTAATCCGTGAGCATCGCCAGGTCTGACCAGGTCTGACCCCCCAATATGTGTGTGTATACATACATATATATACACATGTATATATATATGTATTCACATGTGTTTGCTTATCAAATATATATGCAAGAATTCCCAGTTTGGGGGTCAGCATAGCCATTTTGTTCATCTTAGACCAGTCCCTCCCAAACGTGGCATGATGATGGGATTGTTTCCCCAGACACGGACGCACAGCTGAGCGGAACATGGATGGCCTTTATAATAGTGCCCCTGAAACAGGCTTGGGGGAAGTTGGTCCATGGTGGTAGGGGAGCGAGGCAGTGCCGGGCTTACTTCTCACTGAGCAGCCCTGGGGGTGTGGCACAGAGAGATGGTTCCGAGGCCTGGGGCGCAGGCTTTGCATGGGAGAGCTGTGGGTTTGAACCCCGGCACCACACAATCCCGTAAGAACAGAGGCAGGAGTAACCGTGGTGAGCATCACTGGGCAGGACCCACGGCCAAGAAACGATAATAACTTGGGGCCGGAGCAATAGTACAGTGTTTAGGGTGTCTGCCTTGCATGCGGCCAACCCGGGTTCAATCCCTGGCATCCCAGATGGTCCCCTGAGCACTGCCAGGAGTAATTCCTGAGTGCAGAGCCAGGAGTAACCCCTGAGCATTGCTGGGTGTGACCCAAAAAGAAAACAAACAGACAAACAACAATAACAAAAAAGAATAGTAAACAATAATAGTAAAAAGGAAAGAAGGATATATTTTGTGGAAGATGTTCCCTCGCTTTACAACAGCCTCTTCAAGGGTGGGGATGTTTGTCTAAGCTGGGGGGTGGGGTGGGGGTTGTTTCTGTTTCTGGAGGGGACCTGGTTTGTGTCCACACCCAGCCGTGCTCAGGGGCTACTCCTGGCTCTGTGCTCAGGGAACCATGCATGGTGCTGGGGGTCCAACTGGGGTCAGTGGCACGCAGGGCGAGCACCGTCACCCCTGTAGCTGCTCTCTGGCTCCTGGCCCAGGGTTTCTCAAACATTTCCTATTCGTAATCCGTTTTTTTCCTTGGGAAATCTTTATGTGCCCTTAGGCTAGAAAGTAGATGAACAAGGCCAGGAGATCACTTGACCCAGGTTCAATTTCCAGCACTGTAGGGTCCCCCAAGCTCTGCTGGGTGTGGCCCTGTTAACCCCCCCCCCCCCATCTCTGCTAGGGCAGCCCTGACACCCCCAGCTCTGCTAAGGGCAGCAGCGGTACCCCCAACTCTGCCGGAGCAGAGCCACGTCCTCAGGCCCTTGTGCTGAGCCAAAGCTGAGACTTGTCAGTAGGGTCCCTGTAGCTCCTGAGCACAGTTTGGGAGCAATCGCTGCCTCCCCCACCCCCACACCCCGCCTCAAATAAGGTATAGAGGGACCAGAGATATAGCACCGGTACTTGGCACTTGCTTTCGATGTGGCTGACCTGCTTCACTCCCCAGTACCCAATATAATCCCCTGTACCCGCAGTCGTGATCCCCGAGCACAGAGCCAGGAGGAAGCACTGAGCACCCAAGCCAACATAAAATAGGTGTACAAATCAAACTTTGGCTGCTAGTCAGTCAGCCTTACTTTGAAGCATTTTTTGGGACCGCCATGTTCCATTCCCTGGCCCTGGGTCTGCCCTGGAAACATCCCTGAACTGGAGATGCCCCAAAGAAGCCCTCTGCTTTGCTCTGCTTCCAGCATGCTTTCCGTGGTGACACAATGTTTCCTGTTTCTCCACTATGGATATTGCTCCTGTAGTTCTAAAACAGAAATAGGACTCCAGCCTCCAGCCTCTGTTTTGTGTGTGTGTGTTTGTGTGAGACGTTACTGGTGCCCGCTCGAGCAAATTGATGAACAACGGGAGGACAGTGCTACAGTGTTTGTGTGGGGGCACACCAGAAAGTGCTCAGGGCTTGCTCCTGGCAGAGTTCAGGGGACTGCCTGGGGTGCTGGGGAACTGAACCAGGGTCAGCCACATGCAAGACAAACACTTAACTCTGGTCTTTGCCGCTGTCAGAGGAGCTCTCTTACCAGACATGCATCTTACGTTCGGGGTGATGGAAAGGTGGCGGGTGGGTACAGGCAGCCCCTGGTGCAGCCAGTGGGGTCACCAGGGCTCCTGGAAGTCCCAGGAAGTGGTTCCCTCACCCCAGAGTCAAACTGGAGGGTCACAGCCCCCTGCACCCTGCCATCCCACCATCCCCTCTTCCTGCAGCTCATCTTCCCCGACCTAGTGGAGGGGCTGGTGCTGATCAACATCGACCCTAACGGCAAGGGCTGGATCGACTGGGCGGCCACCAAGGTGAGGGGACAGGCCAGCAGGGGGGATGGGTGGGGCTCCCGGGAGTGTGGGGGCATGGGGGCATGGGGGCATGGGACCAGGTCCCATCGCAGCCCACCCACCTGCTCCGCAGCTCTCTGGCCTGACCAGTGCACTCCCTGACACAGTGCTCGCCCACCTGTTCAGCCAGGTAAGGACACGCCAGGCGGGGAGGCAGGTGGGGGAGCCGGAGAGGTTCTGCCACACCTTGGGAGGCCCCCAGATTGGCGGGCCCCCCACCCCTGCGCTGGTGCCCCCCAGGAGGAGCTGGTGAACAACACGGAGCTGGTACAGAGCTGCCGGCAGCAGATCAGCAACGTGGTGAACCAGGCCAACCTGCAGCTCTTCTGGAACATGTACAACAGGTGAGGGACCCCCCGCCACACCCCTCCCCGCCACGGAGGCTGCATGCTGAGGGCCTGTTCCCACGGCTAGGACGCCGTGAGCAGAGCCTGAGCCCAGCGCTGAGAGTCGGTTTTGGACAAAGTTGGGGGTTCAAATTCTGCTCCTCCCTTCCGGGGTTTCCTTCTGGGCAGGGGCCAGCCCCTTACCTCGCCCTTCGCTTATTCCCAGGACCCCACAGCACAGCTGTGCCCAGCAAAGGCTTCTTGGGGGGGGAGGGTCTGTGCATTTTGAGCCCCCCCTCTGGCATGCATGGGGAGGCGGATCTCCCCCGTTGCTATGTAGCCCTGTCCCCATATCACCTGCCGGGACCTGGGGCGCCGCCATGTCCCACCTTTGAGAGGGGCAGAACCCGCACCCTGGGAGCATGATGGGGGGCTAGGCTGGGGGGGCCCAGGCCCGGGTGCCCACCTCTACCTCGTTCCCTCCCTGCAGTCGTAGGGACCTGGACATCAACCGGCCTGGAACGGTGCCCAACGCTAAGACGCTGCGGTGAGTGCCCCCCACCCCCTATCTGCACCTCACCCCCGCCCCCAACACCTCAACACACCCCCCCCCGCCGCCGCCAACACGCCTTCTCACTGTGTGTGTGCGCGCAGCTGCCCCGTGATGCTGGTGGTTGGTGATAACGCGCCTGCAGAGGATGGAGTGGTGAGTGGGGCTGGGGCGGGGGGTGAGCAGGGTTGGCGAGGTGAGAGGGACTGGTGGCGGGGGGGGGGGGGCGGTGAGCGGGCGGGGGGCTGTTGAGCGGGAGGGGTGTGAGTGGGTTCTGGGGTTGAGCGGGCCTGAGGCTGGGAGGTGAGACTCGGGTCTCTAGTCAGCAGGAGGCTGGGCAGCCTGCCTGGGGGCGTCTCCCCTCTTTGTTGCCCTGGAGGGGAGGGGCTGGGCTGCTCCCCAGTTTCCAGTGAGGGTCCGGGGTGCTACGTCCCCCGCACCCAGCTGGCCCCTCTCGCCCAGGTGGACTGCAACTCGAAGCTGGACCCCACCACCACGACCTTCCTGAAGGTGAGCCCCCTTCCTCAGCCGCCGAGTCCCAGGCAGGGTGGACAGGGTGGGCAGGCCCCAGCTCTGCTCACCCCCTCTCTTCCCTGCAGATGGCCGATTCCGGGGGACTGCCCCAGGTCACCCAGGTGAGACATGACCCTCCCTCTCTCCCTCACCTGGAACGAGCCCCCCGGGCCCCACCCCCACACACACTCAATGCCCGTCTTCTCTCCTTAGCCCGGCAAGCTGACTGAGGCCTTCAAATACTTCCTGCAAGGCATGGGCTACAGTGAGTGAGCCCCGCGCACCCTCGGGAGGGTTGCGGGGGGGGGGGGGGGGGGGTGAGGGAGGGCAGGACCTGTGTTCAGGGAGGCCTGCAGCACACCAGTCCCGGGATGTCACAGGAGTGAGGCTGGGGGTCCTGTGGCCATTTGGGGAGCTGGGGAAGACTGGGGTAGGCCGAGGCTCCAAGGAGGAGGGCTCCCGGCCCACACGCTCTCCTGTCCTGAGGGCCCCCGAGCGGGCCCTCCATCTGCACCCTTCCAACCCCCCACACCCCTTCTTCTCCCAAATCTCCCCTCCTCCCTGTATCCCTCCTCCTCTCATACCCCTCCTTCCCCCACACACCCTCCTGTCCCCACCCTGCCCTCCCCAATACCCCTCTTATCCTAGCCCACCCTCCCCACTCCTGCGCCCCTCTTCCCCTCCCCCTCCTCTCCCCATACTCCTCTCCCCGCACCCCTCCTTTCCCCACACCTCTCCTTTCCCCCATGCCACTCCTCTCCCAAGCCTGCCCTCCCTGCCCCTGCACCCCTTCCTCTCTAGGCACCCTTAGTGGGGGCTGATCACAGGCTACAGAGGGAACACCTATAGGCTCGGGGCAGTAGCATCCCAAGGAAGAACCACCCCCCGCCTCCAGGCGACTCCAGGACCAGGAGGCCCACACTGGCCCCTGCAGCCTGTGGGCCTGGGACCCTCAGAGTCCAGCTGCCCAGAAGGAGGCGAGGTGGGTCCCCCGCTGTGCTGTGGGGGCTCCTAGAGCCAGAGGTCAGGTGGAGCTGTGGATCCTTCCGGGCGACCGCAGTGGCAGGTGGGCAGGCCACCGGCTCTGCCCGCCCCCTCGGCACCTGTCCCTGTCTCTGTGCCCCCCCCCCCCCCGTGTCCCCCACCCGCCCCTCTCTGGCTTCTTCTCTCTTAGTTGCGCACTTGAAGGACCGGAGGCTGAGTGGAGGAGCAGGTAGCCCCGAGCCCGCTGCATGCCCGGCCCGCCCTGCCTCTGCGGGCTGCAGCCAGGCTGCGTCTTGCTGCGGTTCGGACCCGGGTCTCGCTCCCTCCAGAGCCCCTGCATCCCCAGAGCTCGGGGGGCTCTGGAGGGCAGGCCGAGAGCAGGCTTGCTTCTAGGGCGCCCCGTGCAGCGGCCTCTCCAGGGGGAACCGAGTGAGGGCAGAACTGATCCGGGTCCCAGTCCCAGTCCCCTCCTCTGTGGGGACCTGCCCGGGCCCACCACTCCCGCCGGCTTCTGGCCTGGCTCTGGCTGGCTGGCTGGCTATTGGGAGCAGGGTCGTGCTGGCCGCTGTGGGGGCCCCTGGCCCCCCGCCCGGTGCTGCTGGCGCTGCATGCCTGGCCTTGGCCGAGAGTGGGGGACGGGTGGGGGGGGCAGTGCCCCGCTTGGATGAGCCCCTGCCGCGGGGAGTGTGAGCTCTGCGGGCGCTTTGCTTGTGTGACCTCACCCCCACCCTGCCTCTCCCCGGCCCTGGCGCGCCTCATGCCCGTCCATCTCTGTCCACAGTGCCCTCGGCCAGCATGACCCGGCTGGCACGTTCCCGCACCGCGTCCCTCACCAGCGCCGGCTCGGCAGAGGGCCGCCCGCAGCCCTGCACGCTGTCGGAGAGCAGCGAGGGCCTGGGCCAGGTCAGCCACACCATGGAGGTGTCGTGCTAAGCCCGGGCCCCCTCCTGGGACACCCACCTGCCCGCCGCACCCACGTCGCCCCCGCCATCCTTGCGCCCGCTCATTTTCCCTTTAGTTTATTTTTGTGAGGGCAAAGGGGGAAGAAACGGGGTTACTTCTTTTTCTAAAAAAAAAAAAAAATCAAAGAGCCGACCACAGCGAGGGACTCCCTTTTAGACGCTGCTGCAGAGTCTTCCGATGGTTTGAGGGGCTCACTCCTCCCCACGTGAGCCCTGGCTGAGATTGCTCTCTGCAGGTACAGGGCCGCCAGGGAGGTCCGGGAGGAAGGGGTGTGTGTGGGGGGCGGGGGGGGGGGGGTGTTGCTATAAAGAGCTGGAGTCGTCTTCTGCCCGGGACTCGGGATCAGAATCTAGATCAGAACTGGAGCAGCACAATCTTTGGGATGGAATCTGGCGGGTTTGAGAAGATGGGTTCTTGGGCCCGCAGGCTCAGGGCGCCCAGCTCAGGCAGTGGCCAGAGGGGAAGGTGGGAGCGGCAGGGAGCAGGGCGAGCCCTGCCCGGTGGCCACCGCTGAATTGTGTGTGGCAGTTGTGTGCTGAGCGCCACGCGAGGCCACTCTGACCAGGGTCCTGGGGCTCCCGGATGGTTGATGCTGCAGGGACAGGCAGGCCCAGAGGGGGACTGCTCTGCCCGAGAAAGACAGACAGACCCTGGAGGCAGACGTGAGGGCAGGAACCCCACAAACCTACACCTTCCCGCTTGCACACGCTGCCTCCTGGTGGCGCGGTCCTGACTGTGGTCCGAGGAAAGATGACGGACATTGCCTGGGGGATGGTGGGGGGGAGGCAGCAGTCCATGCTGAGTTCCTAGAGGCCCCTTTTCTTGCCAGACTTCATGGAGAATTCAGTAGCTGGGCCCAGGCTACCCCCCAGAAACAGGGTGGTTGGGGGGGGGAGGAGGAGTTTGGTCAAAATTCCACATTGCTCAGGAAAGGTCAGTGGAGAGAATCCGGCCGAGGCAGGGAGGAGGGAGACTGAGGCTTTGACTGGCTGCGGCGGGAGGGGCCGGTCCCTAGGCAGGCGAGGAAAGTTCCCCACCACACGCAGCACCCGCTCCTGCCCAGCTGGGTCTCCAGGGCCTTCTGCCCGCCCCAGCCCTCATCAGCTCACATCTCCTGGCCCCAAAATGAGAAGCCATTTTGTCTCGGAGCCAAAATCAACTGCTGCCAAGTCGAAAACAAGTGCAAAGGGGGAGAGAGCGCTGGAGCATACAGGGCCCTGGAGGGGCGGGAGACGGGGGTCCACCTGCACCGGCATCCCCTCTGCACATGTCACCCCTTCAGTTATCTAAGCCATGACTAGACTGCCCTAGAGCCCGGTGGTGTCAGTCCGTCCCCAGTTCTAGTCACTCACGTGCTTCCTCTGAATATTGAATGTGACTGTTTGAAAAGCTGGTAGATTAATCCCACTTACTGTAGATAGTGCTGCCAATTTTTTTCCCCCTGTGTTCTTTGATGAGATCACTATAAATATCTATACAGTATATATCTGTGTGTATTGGGTCCTGCTGTGTGCGGTTTTCCATCAGAGGGCATCTCTCTCGTCAGAGTGAACTTTTATGGAGTTTCTTATTTTCCTCTCTGTACAAAGTGAAGCGCCTAATCTTGTGTATTCTTGTGGCTGATGTCATGAGACTTTGAGATGACAAAATGTAAAACAAATAAAAGTCCTTGTCAATGTAGAAAGTTAACTTCGCTGAAAAGCTAATAAAGAAATTAAGAACATCGGCGTGGTGATGTCTTGGGACGACAGGAAACTCTGCACGAAACTGTGTCTCTCTCATGGCTCTTGGGCACCAGGGGGCTTGAGCCGTCGGTTTCTGTTTCCAACTATCACGTCATCTTTTTTTTTTTTTGCTTTTTGGGTCACACCCGCGATGCTCAGGGGTTACTCCTGGCTCATGCACTCAGAAATCACTCCTGGCGGTGCTCGGGGGACCATATGGGATGCTGAGAATCGAACCTGTATCACGTCATCTTGCCCATCCTTATCTAGTTCTCCAAGGTAGTTATTACCTTATTGTCACAGCCGAGGAGATGGATTTATCTGGGAGCTGGACTTCTGAAGAGAGATGACTCAAAAAGCTGGAGTTCATATAGGCCCTCCAAGTTTGATCCCTGTCATCCTATGCCCCCCCAACCACTGAGTGGGGGTGACCCCCAGTATGGCCAAAAAGTAAGGAAACAAAAGTCCTTATCTGTAACCTCTGTGCTCTTTGGCTTGTGGCTTTTGTTTGTTTGGGCCACACCTGGCTGTGGTCAGTGCTTATTCCTGGCTCCGAGCTTAGGGATCACTCCTGGTCATGCTCAGGGCACCACCTGGGGGGCTGGGGATGGAATCCAGGTGGGCAGCGTGCAAGGCAAAAATCAATCACCTTCTCACCTCCGCTGTACCACCATCTCTCCAGGTTTCTTCCATGGCTAACCGCCTGTTCCCCGTGCTGAAACAATCATCTTAGAGATCTATTCCTCAACTGTGCATTTAAAACCCTGACCTATCACAAAAAGTTCCTGCTGTGTGTCAGCTAATAAAAATTCAAGGGCTATGCAGATGAGAAACAGGTACATTAGCAAGTCGGAGCAAAGGTGGGGCTCGGGGGCAGGGACGACTTTCCCATTTCTGAGAACTCTCCCTTCCCCGGGCTCGTCCGCTCTGAGCAAGCAAAACACGATGATGCGGCTAAAACGAATTCTAGAACAAGGCCGGCACTGAGCTCCCAGCGGGAGGGGGCCGGCTTCAGGGCCCGCCGCTTCTCGTGCACAAGCGGAGTGACGTCCTTCGACCACGGAGAGTCGGACCCGGCCCACTGCGGCTCGGGGACGTGGTCCTGCAGCGGACAGCACGTTAGTAAGGGACCGCCCCAAGCCAGGGTGTCCGGGGGAGGAGTGACGCGAGCAGGTGCGAGTCCCCACCCTCCGGCTGACACGGGCCCCACGTGGTGCGGCCCGGGGGCGTGGCCGTAGAAGCCCCGCCCCGGGGCGTGGCCGGGAGCCGGAAGCGGCCTCGGAGCATGGCGACCCAGGCCAAGCGCCGGCGGGTGAGTGGCGGGCCGCGGGCACCGCGCGCGCCCCCCGCGCTCGCTCCCGCGCGCCCCCTCCCGCCCCCGGAGCCCTGCCCTGGCGCCGGCGAGCCCTCGCGGCCGTGTCCGGGGGTCGGGCCTGCGGGCGGCGGGGACCCGGACCCGGACCCGGTGGCCGGCTTCCTGCGCTGGTGCCGGCACGTGGGGCTGGAGCTGAGCCCCAAGGTGAGCCGCGGGCGGGCGCGGGGCGGGCGGGCGGCCGACGGCCCGGCGCTCACCGCCCACCCTTCCCGCGCAGGTGGCGGTGAGCCGGCAGGGCACGGTGGCCGGCTACGGCATGGTGGCTCGGGAGAGCGTGCAGCCCGGGGAGCTGCTGTTCGCGGTGCCGCGGGCCGCGCTGCTGTCGCAGCACACCTGCTCCATCAGCGGCCTGCTGGAGCGAGGTGCGGCGCGGGGCGCGGCGGGGCGGGGCGCGGCGGGGCGGGGCGCGGCGGGGCGCGGCGGGGCGGCCCCGAGGCCTCACCGCCGCGTCCCCTGCAGAGCGAGGCGCGCTGCAGAGCCCGTCGGGCTGGGTGCCGCTGCTGTTAGCGCTGCTCCACGAGCTGCAGGCCCCGGCTTCCACCTGGAGCCCTTACTTCGCGCTCTGGCCCGAGCTGGGCCGGCTGGAGCACCCCATGTTCTGGTGAGACGCCCTAGGAGGGACAGGGGGGAGCGCCCTCCCGTAGCCGGCTGCGGCCGAGGTGGAACTGAGCTGCCAGCCAGGGGACCCGCGCGGGGGTGTCGCCGCAGGCCGGAGGAGCAGCGCCGGCGGTTGCTGCAGGGCACGGGAGTCCCCGAGGCGGTGGAGAAGGATCTGGCCAACATCCGCAGCGAGTTCTGTTCCATCGTGCTGCCCTTCATGGAGGCCCACCCTGATCTTTTCAGCCCTGGGGTTCGCTCTCTGGAGCTCTACCGCCAGCTTGTGGCGCTAGTGATGGCCTACAGGTCAGTGAAGGAGCCCATTGGGGACCCGAGGGACGGCGCCCCACCCTCGCCTCACCGAGCACTGGGCTCCCGCCAAATTCTGACAGCTTTCAGGAACCACTGGAGGAAGAGGATGAAGAAAAGGAGCCCAATGCCCCTTTGATGGTGCCTGCTGCGGACATCCTAAATCACGTAGCCAACCACAATGCCAACTTAGAATACTCTCCAGTGAGTGGATCCTTTCCAGTTTTTAATTTTTATGTGAACTGACTGGGCATGAGACCCAACCAGTGGGGCAAAATGATCTCAAGTAAGGTGGGGCAGGGAAAGCGAGTGGGAGGCAGCAAAACTATAGGGTTTTGTCAAACATGTAAGTGAAGTCCTCTGCACAGTGGGCGGTAATTCTCAGTCAGAGGTCTGAGGGCTCTCTGTTCCTTTAGCCACGTGTCAAATTGTCAAACCTATACAGGATTGAAAATGACAAAATGGGGGCCAGAGAGAACTTGACAGACTGGGCAGCATGGGTGTGAACCCTGGCAGTGTGATCCCCAGAGAACTGCCCTCATGACCCCTGTGCTTGTAACCAGGCATGGCCCCAAAGCAAAGCAAATTCTGAAGTGGATGCTACTTTATCTCATTTACATTTCCTACTTTGTTCTTAACTGCTCAGTTTTTAAAATTTGCCCTCCCCCCCAAAAAAAAAAACCACTTGGTTGCTCAGGGTACTATCTCACTGGCTTCCAAACTGCAACTTTTTAAGTGCTGGTCACGGCTGAACAGAAATTCATCTAATAAAACATGGGGGCTGGGTCCAGAGAGATAGTACAGCAGGTAAGGCAGTTATATGAGGCCGACTCGGGTTCCATCCCCAGTACCACCTTTGGTGGCTTGAATATGACTGGGTTTGATTCCCCCGCCCCCCAAACCAACCAAAACCAGATCTGAGGCCGCACTTTGTAAGCCTTTACATTCTGCATTATGGACTCTAACAGGAACGATAGCCAGCATGCTGACTAGTATGTATCAGCCCAACTAAAATGTACTTGTTGGAGGGTCTTCCTAATAGGGAAGTACTTTGTGGTCTGGGGCTGGCCTGCGAAGAACCTGGCCCCAGTTTTTCCCTTCCATCCCAGAATTGTCTTCGGATGGTGGCTACTCAGCCCATTCCTGAAGGCCACGAGATATTCAACACTTATGGTCAAATGGCTAACTGGCAACTGATTCATATGTACGGTTTTGTTGAACCATACCCTGACAACACTGATGATACAGCTGACATTCAGATGGTGACGGTTCGTGAAGCAGCTTTACGGGGTGAGTGTCTTGTCTATCCTTGCCCCACATTTCTCTGATCCTTATAAACTAAGGAAAAATGAGTTCTTGGGCAAGATGGAATTTTTACATTATTTTTCACTTAGGAATAAACACTGAATCCGAAAGACTACTACTCTATGAACGCTGGGATTTCTTATGCAAACTGGAAATGGTAGGGGAAGAAGGAGCCTTTGTGATTGGGCGTAAAGAGGTGCTGACTGAAGAGGAACTGATCACTACGCTAAAGGTAAAGACTGAGAACTTCACTTAACATGGTAATACCTGGTGCTGCAATGTGTTAATCACATTCATGTGTGAGGCACCAGTGACATGGGTTGATACAGGCCTGCAACAACATGGTGCTGCAGAAAATAGACTAAAAAGGTAGATGAGAGAGGATGGGTGAGATGTGAGAGGAACCGTGCTACTCCAAATCAATTCCAAAAAAAAAACCCCAAAAAAACAAAGAAAAAAAAACAACACTTAAGTAGTCCTTCCTAATGAAAGGTCCCTATGGTTGCATCTAGGTACTTTGCATGCCTGCTGAAGAGTTCAGAGAGTTTAAGGACCAGGATGAATGGGGTGATGACCAAAGGGAAGAGGATAGCCTACTGATCACAAATATCCCCAAGCTCAAAGCATCATGGAAACGACTTCTTCGGGACAGTGTTTTGTTGACCCTGAAAACCTATGCCACAGACTTAAAATCTGACCAAGATTTACTCAGAAATGAGGTCTACTCTAAACTTGGCTGGAGGGAACAGCAAGCCTTACAGGTTTGCTACGGTCAGAAGATGATCTTACACCAGCTGTTAGAAATGACAAGTTAGCAGGCTCTCCGTTGGCCAAAGGAACCGTCCACAGGAAAAAATTTATTTAAGCTGTCAGTCACTGATACTTGAAAAAAGAGGAAAATATGGACCTTTTGTTTTGATTTCCTTATTAAATACCAAGAAACAGTGACAAGTGTGGTAGGATTACTTTGAGGTAAGGTTGCTGTATGTAATGATGGGGAACAGTAGACACGGGAATCACTGCTGATTATTTCTAAGACCAATCCCACAGCTCTACTTTCTTAGTTTCAACAAAATCCAGCAGAATGTGACAGTAAATAGATCTCAGAACCTAGATCTGCTTAGTATTACTAGTATTATCTGGGGGCATCCTTTATCACTTACAGAAGTGTTTCCTTTTAGAGAGGATTTCATAAGTTATGACAAACCTGTAGTTAAAACCCTGAGATATCAATGACATCTAAAATGCACTTGTTTTAACTTACACTATTTAATTTATGGTCCTCTCTAGTTATTAAACTTGACAGACATTAAACAAATTTTAAATATGTATTCCTAAGGAAAAAAAGTTTTCACATAAAGAATTGAAAGAAAATGGGCATTTTATATTTGTTTGGCCAGAGAACCCTTCTCAGAACATTTTCCGTTAAAAAGGAGCAGGGAAAGGGCTGGATGTACAGTGGTTAAGGCACTTGCCTTGCACACAGTGGACCCAGGGTTCAATCCCCAGCGCCACATTTGGTCCCCTGAACACCACTGGGTGTGCCCCCCAAACAAAAATGAATCAAGCATTAAATCTTGCCATATAAAAACATGTCACAATCATGCCAGATTAGTAGTGCACTGCAAAAGGGACTGTCCACTTGTTTTCTCACCACCAGCACTGGCTGCTGCTACTGAGAAAGCCATAGTGGCCTCACATGCATGTCATGACTTTAATATCTCACTATAGTATGCATACAACATATAAGGAGGGGTCTAAAAGCCCAGGAACTAGGAAGGCTACGAAATACAACACATGGACCAATACAGTTACAAAACACTCAGAATTCTTACCAAAAAATTGTATTGATCCTTCTGATTTGTGTTAGATTTAGCCGGTATGGCTCTTCACTGGGATGATGGGGGAGGGCAACTGATAAGATTTGGTTTTTTGTACAACAGTTCCCAAGTCTCAGGAGAGGTAAGGGAGATATAGGCTCTCTTAAAACAGTTGACTGTATTTCAGAGGGCTCGAGGTTTACTTTGCTGAGAAACTGATGTCAGCATTAGAGTTGGGAAAAAGGCAAAACAGAGACATGGGATCTCAATTGTGAGTTTGTCCCATGTTCATTCCTTGGCATAGCAAATCCTAGCACATTCACATTAGAAAAACAAGTTAGTAAATTGGCTGGCGGGGGGGGGGGGGGGGGGGGGACTGGACAGAACAGGGGTGCACGCTATTCTTTGGGATACCAGGAATGTTAGAAAACAGGGAGCAATGTTCCAGACCATGGCATCAGAAGCCCCTTTAAATTATAAGCTGGGTAGGTGCCAGTTATCTGCTTGCCTTGAACACACTTTTGCACAAACCCAAGAAGTTCAGACAAAGGTTTTCTCTTTCATATATTTACACAAGTTCAAAATGATATTCACAGCATCTTCTAAATTTTGGCCGAGTCAAAAAATGCATTTAAACTTTGGGACATGTCCACATAGACAGGAAGCTGATCCCAACAATAGTTGGGGCAGATACCCGAGAACCAAAGGGCTGGGAAAGTCAGGAGAAGCTGAAAGGTTCTTCAGCCAGTTTATGAACTTGGTATGGTGGGACCTCCAGGCTGACACGTTTACTGAGACGCAGTTCCATCTAACTGGCACCTGTCCCTTCCATTACTTGCTGAGCCTGCTTCTGTCCCATGCAGCACTGTGCCACCGACTGGAATAACCTGAAGAATGGAGACAGTGATAAGTTTGAGAACACAACATTTAGGCAATATTATGCACATCTCACAAGTTTTGGTGCATTTTGGGGTATGAAACAAGGACCAGATTAAACTTAACAGCCTCTACCTTTTGAGCCATACGCCTGGGTCCTAATGTAATTATTAATCACAAATCCAGATACTACCAAATGGTTATCATCCTTAGCGGCAGAAAAGAAAAAACAAAACTCACTTTTCAATTTCCGGGGCACAGTGGACAAACTCATGGTTCCAGAATTTAAAGGCTGGATTTTTGATCAGCTCAATGAATGTAATAAGAAGACCCCAAGGATGTGGCCTATTTACAATCAACCGTTCCAAGAGAACCCTGGAGAAGGGGAGAGAAATTAATGCATAGAGCATAGAAATTCATGATTAAACTATGTGCAAATACTGATTTAAAACCACCTCTTCCCTGGGCTGGAGAGACAGTAGTGAGTAGTGCTTGCCTTACACATGGCCAACCCAGAGACTGATCCCTTATACCACATATGGTCCCTGAGTACTGCCAAGAGTCCCTGAGCATCACTGGGTGCAGTCAACAAAAAGCCCCACCTCTTCCCACTAATGAGCCTTGAAGTAGTTTCAGACTGTCAGACACAAACTAACCACTTAATGTCACTGTCCTCCCATTGGTGGTGGTTCATAGATTTGTTCATCGATTTGTTCCAACAGGACCAGTAGTCTCCATTTTGAGACTTGCTGTTACTGTGTTTGGATATTCAACAAAAACATTCACCTTTGACCTCATTAAAAAAAACGAGGTTTGGGGATGTGGCCATGCCACAATCATCTATGCACAGGGGACCTGACCTGTGCCAGTGTTATCTTGCACAGCTGACCTGAACTCAGGACCAGCAGCCCATATGGTCCCTCAATACTGCGAGCACTGACCTGGAGTACAGTGCCAGAACTACTGAGCACCACCAGGTATGACCTAAAAACCAAACCCCCACACCCAAGTCTGATCCAATTTTTATTTTTACTTTGCTGGGGGCCACAGCAGGCAGTGCTTGGAGCTTACTCCTGGCAAGCTCAGGCAACAATATGGGGTGCTAGGGATCGAACCTGGGTCTACTGCATGCAAGGCATACCCACTGCACTATCACTCCAGCCCACTGATCCAATTTTAAAGTGTTTCTGTCTCACTGAAATCTACCCATTTCTCCAGCCCTGTATATACTTAAGTACTATCCTAGGGGGTATGGTACCGCCAGCAGGTCAATCTGTACCTGTGAGGCGAGCGCATCAGCAGCCTGATGGCACCTTCAGACTTACAGATACCCCAAAATTGCTGCTATGCCTTTGGCCAGACCCCAAAAACTTGGGGCAAAGTTTACCAAGAAAGTAAACGGCCAAAAGTTAGGTATGTGGGAAACACACCCACAAACCACCTCTTCAGTTATATAATTGGAGGCATGGCCTCTCTGGTTCCTGATTGAATTGCTTAAAGGCCATGATCCCAGAGACTCAGAAACAAATCTCCGAACCCCAGCGGCTTTTGGCAGAAATGCGTCCAGTCCCTGCAGCAGGCTACCGGTGCTGGGCCAACCCAGGTGGGAATAGGTTTCGTGCCTTGGCCTGTTCCCCCTGGCTGCCCGGTGGCCACCATTCTCCAGAGAACACTGTACAATCAGGTTTGGGCCCGCAGTGATGAGACATTTTGGGCCTCATGGGATGCAGGTGGAGCTGGTCCTGTCCTCCCAACCCCAATGAGACCCCAAGTCATCGCCCATGAACGGCCTTTCTGGCTCCTGATCAAGCTGCTTAACGGCCATGATCCCAGAGACTCAGGAGCAAATCTCGGAACCTAGTAAGTTTTGGCAGAAATCCCTCCAGATTTAAGTGTTAAAATTTCAGAATTTCAAAATCACACGGCCGCTACTGCAGCCATGCGATATCACATATTATTCATAACCAGCAATAGAAAACAAATTGTCTACTGTTGCCTTTTCAGCAGAACTGAGTGTTGTGGTAAAATCTCAAATAATAATGGTGGGTCTGGTTGTCAAAATATTGAATATGATCAAAGGAGAGAGAGAGAGAAATCATCTGCCCCACAGGTAGGGGGAGGGTGTGGGATGGGGGTAGACTGGGGTTGTTGGGGGTGGAGAATGGACACTGGTGAAAGTACAGGTGTTTCATTGTATGACGGAGACTTAGACCCAAAAGCTTTGTAACTGTTCTCACAGTGATTCAATAAGTAAAATTTAAAAAATGAAAAAAATAGGGGCTGGAGCGATAGCACAGCGGGTAGGGCGTTTGCCTTGCACGCAGCCAACATGGCCGACACAGGTTAGATTCCCAGCACCCCATATGGTCCCCTGAGCACCGCCAGGAGCAATTCCTGAGTGCATGAACCAGGAGTAACCCCTGAGCATCGCCAGGTGTGACCCAAAAAGCAAAAAATAAAATTGAAAAATATAATATAAAGTACTATCTTATCACTAAGCTTTTAATCCAAAGAAGCTCATTTAATAGGCTTAAATGATCTGGACATTGTTCTTTTAATTTCACCAACAATTATGATGATTTGTAAATTTCTACTTATGATTTTTGTTGATATCTATTAAAATAAAGAGTGCAGGAACTATATCCATTTTAAATTATATCCATATCTAATATGTATACAATGTTTAGTGTAAACTGCCTAGAAAATAGTCAAAATTTGTAACAAAAAACTGTTCTGAGGCTGGATAGATAGTACAGTGGGTAAGGCGCTTGCTTTGCATATCTAACTGGGGTTAGATCCCTGGCAGCCCATGTGGTCTCCCTGAGCAATGCTAGGAGTGATTCCTGAACATTGCAGAGCATGGCCCAAACACTCCATCCCTAAAAGTAGAAGAAAAAAAGGTTCACTTGGGCTTGCTCTCAGGTGCATCCATTTTCTCCCTTAAACATGTATCTTTACTTGTTTGGCTCTATGTTTCTACGTCCTTTCTTTTTCTTTCAAGTTCGTGTCCTCTCTTGAACATGCATTTAATCCTTTCCTTCTCCCCCCGCCATCTTTCTAAGTTTCATTCCGTAAAAACCATCTTGCCATCTTGGTTTGCTAAAAAGTTTTTAAGGTTCCATGTAGAAGCATCTAAAAAAGAAATTTCTCTCTTACCTTGTGATCTGTTCTTGGATAGCTTCAGTGTTGGCCTCTGCAAAAAGGTACAGCATGGTGCAGCTAAAATAGTGTGTGTGGCTATT